TTGAACTTTATTTAAGCCAGTTGCTCTCAACCTTTTTGGAATATAGGCACTCCTCACTGAATTCGAGGCATGACCCATTAGACTTGAGGCACCCTTTCATAACTTTTTGTGAATTAAGTGGCATCAAATTTCAGAGAGATTGGGCAGTAGCGGCGAGGGATTGGCCTGGCAAGGACAAGCCTGAGCTGGCATTTATTTGCATATGCCTTAACTCCTCACAACTTGGGGCACCCTTCAAAGGATCTGGCTGGACCCTGGATGAGACTCACTGGTCTAAACTCTTGTCTGATGGTAATAATAAGATAGGAGAATCAGGGCTTCAGCCTATTTCAGGATTCTGAAGCTTAATTGTTCCTGTTCCAGGAAACAGAGGGGCAGAAGTGCTTCACTCAGCATGGCAGGCAGAACACCTCTTTTGCTGGTTCAGTAAGACCAGGAATCCCAGCAAGTAAATTGTTATTAGACCAACAAGATTTTTGCACAAAAAAAAAAAAAAATCTTTAATTGCAAGCTTTCGGGCATCAACACCCTTCATCAGGCATTGGAGAAAGATTGTAAAAGTTGTCCTGGGGAGAAATGAAAGTTCATATTTTATAGGATTTGCCAGAGGAGTCAATAGATAGAAAACTCCTCCGGGCAGTCGATTCATAGCTGGTATAGAGCCTCTGTTCCTGTGAGGATCTGTAATGATGCAAATTACCTTGAAACAAAGGCAGGAGCAGGATCTTCATATTTTCCCAAGCAGCAAACAACTGTGACCACCTGAAAACTGAGATCCTGCTCCTGCCTTTGTTTCAAGGTAATTTGCATCATCACAGATCCCAAGAGGTGAGAGAGCTATGAACTTACTGCTCAGAGGAGTTTTCCGTCTATTAACTCCTCTGTGAAATCTTGCGAAGTATGAACTTTCATATTTTGAAAAATCTTGTTTGTCTAAAAAAAGACATCATCTCTACTATGAGTCCTGATTGCCTTTTCCTTTCGACCAATGTGGCTACAACCTGTATACTTAACTTCTGAAAAGCATTTTCTAAATTAAACTGAATATACTTTAAATATAAAATTGAGATTAAGACAATCTGCTTTGAGTTTTAAACTTATAATGTGTTAAAACAAGTAAGCAGTATGTGTTTATTGCCAATATGTTCAAAACCACTGAACTAGTGCATGTTGTTGTCTAAGTGTGTGGAACCAGAGTTTACAGTGCTAAGTCAGGTTTTGGCAGCCAGTGGCTTTTTGAATGAACAGTTCACATGAAGATGTTTTAACTAGTTGAGTAAAAGTTAGTTCCAATCAGTGGGGATCTGGCAAACCTAGACAGCCCCCCCCCCCGGCTTTGTGCATGTGTGCGTGGAGGGGGGAGCAGTGTAGTGGGGAGGGAAGAGAGGCGAGAATATCTGTTGTTTTTACAATATTGAAAGCTGTGGTAACCAGAAACAATTGGCTCAGTTCCCTAAGCTATAATGTCTTTTTTTAATTTTGATTTTTGTCAGGACATGTTTTTTATGTACGTAGTCAGTGCAGTCTTACTTAACTAATAAAACCTGCTTGTGGACTTTTGTTACAATTACATGTTTTCTTTCGTAAGGCCTGATGCATCATGAAGGGGAAAATCAAGTAAAATGAATTATTCATCATAAAAACGTAAATAAAGTGAAGAATTTGAATGAGAGTATGTAATATAGTGCATGTTTCTGGTCAGCAAAAAAATCTCAAATTTAGGATAAAGACTGTATTTAGCTACAGATCAATGTGTGTGAGTGACTGTAGCAATTGACAAGAAGCAGCCTCTAGGAAAATAACAAGTGTAAATCCAAAATAAGATTAAAAAAAGACTATTTAAATTTAGTTCTCCTGCTTGATTTTAATTGTGATTAAATTGGGTGCCCTGATTCAGAGTTCCTGTGCCTATCCTGGATTTGTACTAATGTACACTATGGAACGGAAACCTGCTGTCTTTCTAAAGTTTCATAGTATGCTTTAGTAGCTCCAAATGTCAGTTGGCTTTTCCACTTTGTCCCAAGTGGAGTTGAGCTCATTTATTCCACTTGCAGCTGGGAAGAGGAAAGTGGAATGAAAAGATCTGGTCCAAACAGGAAGCTGGTAGAAGTTTTGGGCCTCACTCTAAGACTTTTTCTCAAGATTGCTTCATTGGTAAAACTTTTATTAGCAATTTTTTGAGAAATATGAAAATGTCTAAGGTTATCCTCTTATCCTACAGAACTAGCCCTTGCAGCTGCAGCACAGGAAGCATCTGAGAACACAAACCATCCTGTAGCAATTGCCGTAAGGAAGGGGAAAGAAACTAGCCTGTGTATTTATGCTGTCAGCTTGCCTCTTGTTCAGTATTGCTTATGCCTTGCTGTGGTGTATTGGGGCTGGTTTTGGCTTGTGGTTTCTCTCTCTCAAACCACGAACCCCTCTCTCAAACCATAGCCACCCTTGGTACCATCTCCAGGGGTGGCCGTGAAGCCCCTGGAGGCCAAAACTTTTATTTTACCTTGCTCTGTGGGCAGTCTGCCCTTCTCACCTGGTATGCTTCGATGTGATTAGTTGTATAAAATGTTGGAGGCTTCCCTAATCTTACTACAACAACCACCAGGAATTTGTGGTCAGTGCCCTTTGGGCTAACTGCATAGCTCTGTTCCACCTCTATACCGCACCCCAAACCTTGCAGATGTCATCCTCTGTTTACACATGCAGGGCTGCCAGACTCCTTGGTCTCCCCCACAACCCTTTCTCTGGGCTGCCTGACCTCTTGGTTTCTCACTCAGCCCCTTACTGGGCTACTAGACCTTTCTGGTCTCTCCTTCAGCTCCTCACTGGGCCCTAAGACCTCTCCATCTCCCAGTCAGCCCCTTCCTGGGCTGTCCGAGCCCTTGGTGTCACATGATCCTTTCTCTGGGTCCTTAGACCCCTGGTTCCACTTTTTTCTGGCTTCTCTCTGGGCATCCAAACCTTTCTGGTCCCACTGTCTCTCTTCCTTTTCTATTAGGGTGTGGTGGACGTGCATGGAAGCACATTCTTAGCCTTTCCCCACCACAGAGTGACACACAAGGCTGTAGGAGCTGAGGCTTTTAGGTGCCCCATACTTCCTTTTCCCTGAGGTGGCAACATGCGGCATTTTTGCAGAGGCTGCTCTGCCACAGGCAGCCCCACCATGCTGACCAGTCACAGTAGGGTGCGGTTTCAGGTTTTACCCGGGACCAATCTCTAGGCCAGGGATGGGCAAAATATGGCCCACTGGCCAGATTCAGCCTGCAGAGGGATTTTGTCCAGCCTGCAGCAGGTCTTTGTCCTGCCTGGCACAGCAGGTCTTTGTCCTGCCATACTGACAAGGCGTGCAGCAGGGCTGGGTGGCTCTGTGGCCAGATGCCATTTCCTAGCAGCTCTGGTGGTGGCCGCTTTTTCCAGCAGCTGCTGCCACTGGCCATGACCCCATGGAGTCCAGCCAGGGCCAAACGCGGGCTCAGCACACAGCCCTTGCCTGCCCCAACCTGCGCACAGGGTGGGGGTCCCTGCAACGCCCACTCTGGCCACAGTAAATGACAGTGGCTGCCAGGCAGAAGCTGCTGCTGGGCACACTCTGGCTGTGGCCCTCCCCACGAGGGCCAGCAGGATCTCTGGGCTGGTTTCCTTGGCTCTGGCAGTGGTCCCTCCTGGACATTTGGCCTATCCTGCCCAGGCCAGTGAGATCCTGTGGGTCAGTCCTCTGGCTGTCAGCCCCCTGTCATCTAAGTTTTGCCCTCTTGGGCCCCTTGTGCAGCTCATTCAGACCTCTCAATAAGTCTCGCACACACAGCCTCTCTCCCTGGGCTGACCTTGGCCCCTCAATAGGTCCTCTATTTCTAGTCCTGCTCTCTGGACCCTGAATCCTTCCTTGGGTCTCTAGGAACCTCTTTCCTAGTTCCTTGCCAGACCTCCAGACTGCTCTAGATATTGTCCACTGTACTAACCTTTTGGAGCCGTCCTGCTGAGGTGGCGTTTTCTGAGCAGCCTCCAAGATGTTATTGCCAACTCTGCTCAGGGCCTGGGCTTATATCCTGTCTAAGCCTAGCCCTCGTTCTGGGTCAGATGACTTCTCCATCAGGTCAGATAATTTTTGGGCCTGTGCAAATAGAGAAGTATTTGGCTGATTTTGAGGTCAGTGATTTGATTTGGAGATTCAGATCTCTGTTCTGAATCGATCCAGCCGAATCAGCTTTGGAAGGTTTGGCACTGATTTGGAGAGATTTGGTGGTTCGGCCATAGACTATAATAGGGAATCACCAAAATACCTATAACTTTGTCATTTTTGGCAGATTTGGATGAAAACAGCAGGGATGGTAGCCCCTTCTCAGGGCATGAAGGTTTCAAGGAGATATAGGTACAGGGGTTTCTGGGAAACTGCACCACAAACTGTTCGAAGCAAAACTCATGACATGTATGACTTTGTGTGTGAGTTAAGGTGCAGTGGGATGAAAATTGCAGGGATGGTAGCTGTTTCTACATCCTTCCCCCAGAGCCCTGTGATTGGAAGGGGACTCGGAAAAATCACAGTCACTGGCCAGCTATAGATGTCAGTCTTTCCCCCCTGCTCCCCCTACCTCTTCTCAGTTTCTGATCCTCTGAAAGACTGTCTTCCTAATCTCTGAATCTCCAAATCCTTTTCCAAATCGATTCGGAGTGTTTTTTTAATATCATGATTTGGTAATTCGGCCTTTGAACCTGGCCAAATCTTCTTTGAATCTATTCAGTGACCAAAGCTTTGCACACCCCTAATAATTTCTCTGCAGGCTTCCTCAGTCAGATGGCTCCATAATTAGCTCTGTTTCTACATGCAAGCTGCTTTGCTGGCTGCCTCTGACCCGTTAAAGTGGCAGGTGCCCTAAGTATCTTGCCACACCCCTCCATGTGGTTTTTATCCTCAAAGACTGCTTCTGACTTCTCTCTTTCTCTTTTTTTTTTTTTTTCTTCTCCCTCCCTCCCCTGCTTCTTAACACCCCCATTTGTTCATGCAGTTAGCGTATCAGCAGTGGAGGTGACGACGCCAGAAGAGATGTTTGTGGAGAATGGAACGGATGCAAGGCTTCCATGCACGTTCACATCCCCAGAGGTGATCAGCAGTGCAGCTACAGTTTCTTGGAGCTTCCAAGCAGAGGGATCATCAACTCCTATTTCAGTAAGAGCTCTCTGCCTGGGGTAGTTCGGTTATTTGGGGCAAGGACAAAAAGGGAAAATCTTAAGTAAGAGTGTTTTACTGTGGTTAATTCCACTGATACATTGGGGGGGGGGGTTTCCTTCCCCAGTTATAATTGTAGCCTTGATCCCAAGTCATGTAGCTACTCTACCACTCTCCCCTTGTGTCAGCAGTTTAGAACAGGGGTGGGCAATTATTTTGGGCAGATGGCCGCTTACCCAGTTTTGGCAGGCTGTCGAGGGCCGCATGGGTAGCCCCACCCCTTGACAGGTGCCCCACCCCTTGACAGATGCCTCGCCCCCTGGTTACCATCTTGGGACCAATGCCCCAGGGCTAGCACCGGTGGGGCCCAGAGAGGGGCACAGGCTGGCAGGGGTCTGTGGAGCTGGGTTGGGCTGCACCAGCAGGGAGAGGAGGGAACTGGCCTGGCTCCATAGAGCCCGTGCCAGCCGGGACCCTGCATTCCTGCCACTCTGCTCTGGGCCCCACCAGCACTGGCCTCAGGACACCGGTGGTGGGCCCCATGCTCCCACTGGCTCCCCACCTGCTCAAACCCAGTGTCCCCCAGCCCTGCGGTACAGGCAGGGGGTAACGTGCAGCCCCAACCACCTGCTCACCGGCAGGAAAGAAGATGGTGCTGAGCATGGGGAAAAGTGGTGCCTCGCCTGCCCGATGGCTGGCGCTCACAGGCAGCCTCATGTGGGCTGCAGGAGGCTGCAGCACGGGGCGCTGGCCATGGGGCGGGCGAGGGGCCACTTTTCTCCGTGCAGGGAAGGAGCCCGGGGAAAAGCTGAGTGCGGGGGGGAAGCGGCCCCTCCCATGCCCGGTGCCCCATGCTGCAGGTGCTCACAGCCCGCATGGGGCTGTCTGGAGCGGGCACAGGTAGCCCCATGCAGGCTGCAAGCAGCTGCAGTGGGGGGCACTGGGCGTGGGGCAGGGAGGGGCCGCTCTCCCACCCCCACGCTCCTTCCCTGCCCAGGGTCCCCCCTGCCTCCACTTACCTGAGCTTCCCTTGCTGAGGCAGCCACATGTTCCCAGCCAAAAACCCAGGCTGGGGCTTCCGGCTGGGGGGTGGGGCTGGGTGGTTCCTGCTATTGTTGGAGCCTGCCGGGCTTCCCCTGGGTCCTACTGCTCTTAATTCCTCCATTTTTGACAGGAACCAAGGGCAGAGAAATATTAATTTTCTACATTGTTTTAGGGGCCCTACGGGCTGGATAGAATGGCCTTGCGAGCTGGATGCGGCTCGTGGGCCATATTTTGCCCACCCTTGGACTACAACTAAAGCAACACTTTACAACATCTAGATGTGACACTGCTTATATCCAAATACCAGACTGCTGCCGAATCTTGGATTTAGGAATGCTTCCCTCCTTTCTGCTGAAAGAAGGGGGGATGTTGTGTCATCAGTAGGCTTGTTAGACTTCAGATTTTTGTAAGCAGAGCTGTAAATGCAAAATTCCTATTTCCCTTATGCTTCCTCTTCTGGCAAGCAGGTCCCATGCTGATGTTCAAAGGACTGTCATGAGCCTGTGTGCTCTGTGGCTGAGGTAATTGTTGCCAAGGAGCCAGAGGGCACAAAGGGATGGAATGGAGTAAGGTTGTGGTTGATGTGGAGGTTGAGTGTGGTACAAAAGCCAGAAAAATTAAATGCTTCTTAATATTGTGCTAAGCTTGCACTGGTGCCTTGTGTCCTTCCAGAAAGTAGAGATTAGTTTAACATCAATATCTGGAAACTAGGAAATACTAAGGGCTGTGTCACCCCTGCAATGCAACAATGACTCTCTTCTCTTTGACTTCTACCTTTTGTAATGCCCAGACTAGCACTGTAGTACTCCAAGTGCTGCAGAGCACAGACCTTGTTAGAGGGTGCTTGACATCTCTCTTTGCTAAAACTAATTCTGCTTTGGATCTGGCATAATGGGCAGGCACTACCTAAACTTGAGCACAGAGACTGCTTTCCACATGTAGGACCACACTTGCGAAACATTAGTTTCCCATTCACTCCTGTCCCAGAAGGAATCCTCCAGGTATTGCCAGCAGTTCTTTTGTGAAGTCCAATAAAACAGTCATGTATCCCATTGGGCAGCTGAAAAATCCCAATGGTAAATACAGGCAATGTTTCGAGTGACAGTGTTTCACATTTACAACCCTTTTAAATTGACACCCTGTTTCAACTTTCTGATGTCAGTTTTGACTTTACAATCTCAGTAATGAGTTCTGTACCATGTGTGGATCTGGTATCTTGCTATACATCTCCGCTTCTCTGCTTGTTGGTGACACATTCGCTAACCTGCTCCAGTTAATTCTTCCATGCCACTTAGCTACACTGACCATAGTAAATTTTCCTGGAATTCAGAAAAGTGCTGCAGTGCAACTCTGGAACATGTCATGGACAGATAGCACTTCATAATCGTTCAGATATGCAAGTTGCAGCATTACACTTGCCAAACTGTTCTCAGTGGCTACTGCTGGGTTCAGAGCTAAGATTGTTGCAGGGGTGATTTGTAATTTAATTCACCACTCTGATTCTTTCTTACTTTTCAGATTAAGTTTTAGCCGCAGCCCACATTCTGGAAGGGTGTGATATGCTGCTGAGGAATTTTGCATTTCATTTGCTGTCTGGGTTGATCCTCTCAAACATTGCTGTTTTGAACACCCTTGAATTTCATGTCTTAAAATTCTTGGATTCAACAAAACCTGCCTTCTTAAATAAACTTTAAAAAGAAGCTCTCGGGAGGCTTCCTTCATATTCTGCGTTTCCCTTCCTCTCTTCCTCCTCCCCTTGTCACAGTGGTTGTGACTACATCTCATACTTGAACATTATATGTATTTAGTTGGAACTGTATCCCTGTCTGGTAAGTGCTGAACAAATGAGTAGTTAGGACAAGAACGCTGGGAATCTTGTCCCATACATGTAGGGCGTGGAATTGTTCTTCCAGTTAAAAATTCATTAAGGGCAGAGTGGTCCTGACCCATGATACCAATCCATGATCTTCAGGTCACAACCTCTAGCGTGAGACTCCTTTGATTTAAAATATTTGCAGGTGGTTTAGGTTGATGAACTTGAAGGTTGAAATTAAGTATGTTGCTTTTGGAGATGAGTGGGACAACCTACTGTAGAATGTGGCCTGCTAGAAAAAGTAGTGATTGTTGGGGAATAAGTGTACCCCTGGCGACCAGATGTGGAGCAGGGGGAGCAAGGCCGGACACGGAATGACAGCAGTGCAGGATGGTGGATGGCGGCAGCCGCCACTGCATGCAGACTCCCCTCCCCATGTCTGACTACCTGGGCCTCACTTGTGCAGCTCGCAGAGGGGCGCAGCTGCCCTCACCCCCAGTTGAAAACCCTTGCTCACTGTATACCTCCAGTTGACAACCCCTGCTCTAGGGGATTGGCTGCTCCTGCCTTGCAGGCTGGAAAGGGTCCAGAAGAGCTGGTGATTCCACAGTACTGAGGGAGGGACTGTTAACATTTCAGTCCTCTAATGGTATGTTCCTTTTACTTTTCTTCCGTGATTACAGTTCTTTTATTATACTTCTGGGAAGCCCTACACTGGAAAGAACATCCCATTTAAGGACAGAGTCAGCTGGGCTGGAGATCTTAACAAGAAAGATGCTTCTATCAGCATAGCAAACATGCAGTTCCTGGACAACGGCACTTACTTCTGTGATGTCAAGAACCCACCTGACATAGTCGTCAAAGCAGGAGAGATCCGACTTCGAGTTGTGGAGAAAGGTACTCCCTTTCTAGCTGTTCCGTCTCTTCTTTCTTGTGCCATTCTGAGCCTAGGACTGACTGTTGGTTTTACTTATCTTCCCCGAAGCATCACCATAGGTGGAGCCTGTCAGAACCACTGTAAGTGACTGAAAGTATCCTGACCATTCTTTCTTTTGCCCTTGTACAGAACTGCCAAATTACATTGGCATGTCTTAAAATCTGAAAATTATTCCAGATACCTTGTCTGACTTGTAGAACCGCAAAGGGGTGGGGTTGGTACGTAGAAAGCTTATGTCCTGACGGGAAACTAACATTCCGTGTATCATCATACTGGCAAAACTTTCTTGGCTCCATGCCTTTACTTAAATGGATGATGGAATTCTTTCATCTAGTAGAATGGAGACAGAATAAGTCAAGGTTGGAAGAGTCAAACTTATTTACATTACTAGCAGATGTAGGTAGTGTTATCACTACACTGAATTCTCAGAAAGGTGGAATTCCATCCAGCTACTACAGTTTCCAAGTAGGTACTTAAATTCTTGACACAATAGCATTTTTTTAATAGGCTTTCAAGTCTCTGCCATGTAAGCATCAAAAACTAAACAGTCTTTGACCCTGAACTTTCTTTTTTTTCTTTGTTCAATGAAACATTTCCACAATCGCACAACAACACATCTTTAGCTGGATGTTATATTGAAGTGATGTAATAGTGCTTTCAGTATTTTGCTGACCTGTTAAGAAAAGTCCTGTTTGCAGAAGCTACTTCCTCTTTGTATATGAAACCAAAACTTAATGTTTGTTTAACTAAAGTTGAGCTAGGAGGCAGCTATTCAGTTGTTTTGATTTAATTGGTTCTGGTTAAATCATGGCATTTAAACATTTAATTTTCATGGAATCAGTTCAGTAATGTTGAAGGGAAAGAAAAAATGTGATCTTGGTTGTAGGGGTAACTGAGAAAAAAATGAAAGGAGGTACATGAGCTTGTTTCTCTACTGTCTGGATAGTGTTTTGCACTCTGAACTCTTCTGAATCTTTTGAAGGTAGTGGTGAGAGCTGGGGAGTAAGGAGAGTTGTGCTTCAACTCTTGAAGTGTGGGCTTCATGTTTTATATACTTTAGAAAACTTTGCCATTGTAATCTCCTGGCAGCATACTTGTAAGATTGCTCAGCAGTACTAGGTGTTCCTACCTCCAGTATAAATGTATTCGCGTAACTCTCATAACTGTTAAGGATTCTCTTTGCTCTCAGGAAGACTAATGGGTGTCCACCACTGGTATAGAGGTAGTGTAGATGGGAAGAATTGGCTATGCTCCTGCATTTATCTATATTTCAAAGGTGAGAAACCCAAGTTTGTGCAGCATGGAGGAACATGGTGCCAGGCCCATGGGGCCAGAAGTTTGAGTACCACTTATCTGTTTAGTCTTCCCAGTGCAGTCCCTAACCAACCTGCAGTAATAGATTTTACATTTCAGAGCACATCTTCAGTCTCACATCAGGCTGACTGCATGCTCTTGGTTCCCTCTGTGTTCTTGGCCCCTGACCCTGTTCTGTGTAAGGTAGAGTAGTTAAAGCAATGCTGCTTATTCTAGGATTTTCCTTTCCCACAATTTGCATACCATCATTCGCCATCACATCCAGATTCCCAGATTTAGCAGGCGTAGCAAATGTGAAGAAGTCTTTACTGATCTTCACATCAGTGTGCTAATGACTGAGTTTGTAATCATTGATATTCTGTGCACAAGTTCATCTGTTTTAATTATAAATCTGTGTTTAGATATAGCTAAGCCTCAAGTGTATCCGGTGTGCGCACTGAAATAGACTTGAGTGGATTGTATCATTTTAACTTGTTTAAATCATTTAAAACACCTTAAACCAGTGACTTGTGTACAAAATGCTGAGACTTTCTGAGAAGAAAATGAAAGATTAGAGATTCATAGTTTCATAGCTGTTAGGGGCAGGAAGGCCCTAATTTGAAGCCTCTGTATGAAATGGATCAGATTATTTGATGATGTCCTTAGGGGTGCACTGATAAAGATTTTATTGGCTGATACCTGATTATTAACCAATCATATCAGCTGATGCCAGTCCAATAACTGGTATTTAATAACAATGCAAAGTATTTTAAACTACTGACATAAATAAACCTTATTTGTTTGGGCATGCTCCAGCAGCCTCCTGTATCTCATATGTATCGGTGTCCCGGCATTTAAAAATGGCAGCAGGGGCTCTTGAACTGAAGCTTGTCAAATGGGCTTTAGTTCAAGTGCTGCCATATTTAAGTGCAGGGATGCTGATGCATGAAACCCTGCAGCACTTTAATTAGAGCGGCTCTCCACTCTAATTGGAGCACTGTCGCCCCCACCCCCGGAGCACATGTAAAAGTGCCAAGGGGTAGCTGTCTGAACCTGCCCAGCAGGGCTCAGTGGGATGGTATGAGCCTTCCTGGCTGCCCAGGGTGGCCTCTGGGCCAGGCTCCCTGCTCTTCTCCCTCTGCCCAGGGCAGTGCCACAGGACTGTTCCAGGTCCCAGGAAACTAGGCTACTCCTCCCCTGCAGCCAGGGCCCATGTCCTAGGAGCTAGATTCCAGTAGGAGAACGGACCCCTTCCCCTCCTGGTGCTGCTGCTGCCAGGGGCAGGGCAAGCCTCCGTGCCCCATGGGGGGAAGCTGAATGGACCTGGGCCCAGGAAGGGCAGGACCTGGCTGGGCTGAGGGTAGGGTGACACACATGCCTGCCTCCCCTCCCTGCTCCACAACTCCCCTCCCCTGCTGCACCACGGCCGGAGCAGAACTGAGCGGGGCAAGGGCGGATATGGGCTTGGGGCTCTCAGCTCTGCTGCCTTTTCCCCAGAAGCCCTATGCCAGCTGTGTATCCTCTGCCTGCCCAGCAGCGGGAGGTACAACTCACTGCCCATGCTGCTGCCAGGCAGGCAGGCGGGGGATGCACTGCCAGCATAGGGCTTCCGAGGGAAAGGCAGCAGAGCAGAGACCCCTGAGCCCACAGCAAGCAGCCTGCATCCACCCCGTGCACAAATATGGTGGGGCACATCCTCCTTTTCCCCCCATGCTTCCCCAGGGGGGTGCGCACAGCAGCTGGGAGCCCTTGCGCCCCCTGGACGAGCCACCAATGGCTCTGTTCTGCTCCCTGCTCCAGCCCTGGATCCCATGCATTTCCCTGGCTGGGCAGTGCCCCCTGTCCCACTCCCTCCCTCACCGTGGGGGCTTCAGTTTGCTGCCCCTCTCCCCTCTCCCACACCCTTTCACCTACATAGACTTACCTGCAGGACTTACCAGGAATACAGCCAGGAACTGCTTTCCACACTTCCTGGCTGTATTCCTGGCCACATGCATGCATGCAGCCATGCCCATGCACGTGGGCCCCCTGTGTCCTGTTCCCAGCAGCCCAAAGCAGGATCCTTGCAAGCTAGAATGCTGTCTGCCTGCAAGGGGAAATCCACCATTTCCTGATGAGATCCAAGCTTCCAGTGGCCCCGGTCCTGTGGGGGAGAGGGAACCCAGGTGTCCAGAGCCCTGGTCAGAAGGCATAATTATTTGTAAGTGTTGTTGGCTACAATGACCAAAAGAGCTGATTAATGCAACAGATATAGGATCAGCACAGATAAAAGTGCTGATATATGCAACAGATATATCAGTACACCTCTAGTTGTCCTAATAAAACTTTAAAGTAACAAGAAGCACTTTCAGCCTTTAAGTGTCTGACTTAGTTTGTAAGGCCCTTTAAAGGCTGAAAAACCTTTTAAGTTTTTACTTCTAAACAAAGGTGGTTGTCACCTGAGATAACGTAACTGATTAAAAAAGTGACTTTTGTCTGGCTCTTTCTCCTTGCTAATGCATGTATTTTGGTCCTCTATCAAAGTATTTGCTAAAAGTTTAAAGCTTGTGACTAGAGTAGTCATCCACTGGTGAACCACATTGTATGCTGGGGTGGGCAAAATATGGCCATGGGCTGGATCCGGACTATGAACAGATTCAATCTGGCCTGCAGGTGGATGACTGCCAACTTGTTGACTCATTGGATTTGGCTTGTGGGCAGCTGGCAGCTACTGCTGTGTGGTGCCAGGTGGGCAGGCGGGATTGCTTCCATTCAGTGGTATCAGCTGTGGACTGGACAGAGCTTCCACTACAGTGTGCAGGCTGTGGAAGACTGCTGGTAGGTTCAGGAGTCCAGATGCAGAGGGACAGAGGAGAGAGGGAAGAGAAGAAAGGGAGTGAGCGGGGCAGAGGAGAGATGGAAGAGGGGAGGGGAGGGAAGAGAAAAGAAAAGAGAGAGCAAGAGAGAAGAGTGAGATAGAGGAAACAGAGAAGAAGAGTGAAGAGGGGAGAAAGGGAAGAGGGGGAGAGAATGATAGAAGAGGAGTGACAAGAGGAAGAAGTGGGGGAGAGGAGAGGAAAGAGGAGAGGGATAGAAGAGGGAAGAGGAGTGAGTGGGGGAGAGAGAAGAGATGGGAGGGGAGGTAGTGACAGAGAAGAGGGGGAGACAGAGGAGAGAGATGGATATGGCCCTCAACAGGTCCCCAAAACTCACTAAGCGGCCCTTCAGCCAAAATAAATGCCTGCCCCTGTTGTATGTCCAGCTAATACTCAATGCAACTGAAATAAGAAACAATTGGGAACTTTAAACAAATGTGAAGTTTAGTAGTATTTAATGTTAATTCAGCGGCTTGGAACAGTTAAGTAACTTCATATCACTCTGTAGTGAATACTTCCAGTTAGATATGCTACAGCTGTTCATCTTGGGGGTCCATGGTTCACACTAGTGAGACCTTAACTGTTTGGGGCTCTCCCAGGCCTGCACTGCATTGTGCTGTGGGTGACTTCTCCCCATTACCACTGCATCTTGCGTGGGTGGTCCTACCTCCACTCCCTTGCTGCACCTTGTTGTGGGCTGCGCTGCCCTGTCCCCTGGGGCAGGAGCAGGAAGTAAAAGCTGAGGGAGGGAGGAGGAGCAGAGAGGCTCTGGCTGCACTAGCAATTCAAGTGGTAGTGGGGTGGGAGTTGGG